TGAAGGGGTTAACTGGGGGGGGGAGATCAAGGGGTTAAACGGGATTACTGGTGTATTGGTGGGCAAACTGGCGCTATCTGGGAGGGGCGCTAACACTATCGGAAGTCGCCAGCGACACTGATACAGTGATCGGTAAAAATCGGTTCACTGATCAGTGACACTGGTGACAGGGCAGTGAAGGGCTTAACTGGGGGGGGGCGTTCAAGGGGGTTAAACGGGATTACTGGTGTACTGGCGGGCAATCTGGCGCTATCTGGGAGGGGCGCTCTAACACTATCGGAAGTCGCCAGCGACACTGATACAGTGCTCAGTAAAAATTGGTTCACTGATCAGTGACACTGGTGACAGGGCAGTGAAGGGGTTAACTGGGGGGGGGGTGTGATCAAGGGGTTTTAAACGGGATTACTGGTGTACTGGCGGGCAATCTGGCGCTATCTGGGAGGGGCACTAAAACACTATCGGAAGTCGCCAGCGACACTAATACAGTGATCAGTAAAAATCGGTTCACTGATCAGTGACACTGGTGACAGGGCAGTGAAGGGGTTAACTGGGGGGCGATCAAGGGGTTAAACGGGATTACTGGTGTACTGGCGGGCAATCTGGCGCTATCTGGGAGGGGCGCTAACACTATCGTAAGTCGCCAGCGACACTGATACAGTGATCGGTAAAAATAGGTTCACTGATCAGTGACACTGTTGACAGGGCAGTGAAGGGGTTAACTGGGGGGGGGGGCGTTCAAGGGGTTAAACGGGATTACTGGTGTACTGGCGGGCAATCTGGCGCTATCTGGGAGGGACGCTAACACTATCGGAAGTCGCCAGCGACACTAATACAGTGATCAGTAAAAATCGGTTCACTGATCAGTGACACTGTTGACAGGGCAGTGAAGGGGTTAACTGGGGAGGGGGGCGTTCAAGGGGTTAAACGGGATTACTGGTGTACTGGCGGGCAATCTGGCACTATCTGGGAGGGGCGCTAACACTATCGGAAGTCGCCAGCGACACTGATACAGTGATCAGTAAAAATTGGTTCACTGATCAGTGACACTGGTGACAGGGCAGTGAAGGGGTTAACGGGGGGGGGGGCGATCCAGGGGTTAAACGGGATTACTGGTGTACTGGCGGGCAAACTGGCGCTATCTGGGAGGGGCGCTAACACTATCGGAAGTCGCCAGCGACACTAATACAGTGATCAGTAAAAATTGGTTCACTGATCAGTGACACTGGTGACAGGGCAGTGAAGGGGTTAACTGGGGGGGGGGGGGGGCGATCAAGGGGTTAAACGGGATTACTGGTGTACTGGCGGGCAATCTGGCGCTATCTGGGAGGGGCGCTAACGCTATCGGAAGTCGCCAGCGACACTGATACAGTGATCAGTAAAAATCGGTTCACTGATCAGTGACACTGGTGACAGGGCAGTGAAGGGGTTAACTGAGGGGGGGGGCGATCAAGGGGTTAAACGGGATTACTGGTGTACTTGCGGGCAAACTGGCGCTATCTGGGAGGGGTGCTAACACTATCGGAAGTCGCCAGCGGCACTGATACAGTGATCAGTAAAAATCGATTCACTGATCAATGACACTGGTGGCAGGGCAGTGAAGGGGTTAACTGGGGGGGAGGCGATCAGGGGGTTAAATGTGACCTAGGTGTGTTCTAACTATAAAAAATGTAGTGTTTTACTCACGTTTACTGTGTCTTCTTCTCTGTCTGGAACAGAATGTGTCCAGGCAGAGAAGAATGACATCATATCCTGTCCTGTGCAACTGTCAACACAGGACAGGATAGGACAGGGACCGATCATCTGATTTCAGCCAGACATCACTGGCTGAAATCGAATGATTGATCCCTCCGGGATCAAATGGTGTCACTCGCGGGTCGGCGGGAGCGTGCACGCGCGCGCGCCCCTGCCGGCGAAAACGTCGGGAGCGCAGAGCGCGTTTTAAAACGTGCTTTTGCAACCGAGTGCCGCCCTGCACACGTATATATACAGTGGCAGGACGACAAGTGGTTAATTAAATATTTCACATAATATACTGTAAGATGACCACTACACACAGACACTTCTGTCACCAGACTTCAGATACACACAGAAGCTGCAACAGTAAAACTATTAGAACACAGGGACACTTGCCTAATAGTCTCTGCTTATAGCCTGGATGAAATACAGCAGCAGCATCTCTTGCATGTAAGGTCAAGTGGTCCAATTCAGTTTTTTTCCTGGAAATTCCCCTTTATAAGATATCAGTCTTCCAATCTGGGGTTTATGATCCAGCTAAAAGACTGGAAGTAACTTTCTATAACCCATTATCTCTGTGATATTTACCAAGCAACAGCTATTTACAATTACAGAAACTAGGGAGCACTCCCTACATGTGTACAAGTTCTCACTTGGGGCAACCCGCTTTTTAACCCCTTACATCCCAATGCTAAAATTATACAACTAATACAGTCCAGATAATTCTCTACTATCCATCTACAGAGAAACTCTCATAAACCACATGACTACACCACAGAGGATGGATAAGGACCGGAGTTCCATGACTGAGAGGATACTAAACTTCACCCTGGAGATCATCTACCTGCTGACCGGAGAGGTGAGGAGGATTCTGGGAGGTCACATGACATCACTTTTATCTCTAATAATAAAACACAGACCTGACCAGAGAGGTGAGGAGGATTCTGTGATACTAATATTATATTCCCATTGGTTCTCCAATACAGAGTTTTCCTCCTCCAAAGTCAGGTGATCATATGACCATCAAAGTCCCTCCATGTGACTCCCGAAAACCTGAGAGAGATAACATGGAGAAGATTCTAGAAGTCACCAAGAAGATGATGGAGCTGCTGACAGGAGAGGTGAGCGGTGCCGGGAATTCTGGGACATTCTCCAGTAACAGACAAGGGATGTGTCTGGATGGTGACTGTATCATTGTGTGTGTCAGGTTCCTATAAGGTGTCAGGTGTCACTGTCTATTTCTCCATGGAGGAGTGGGAGTATTTAGAAGGACACAAGGATCTCTACAAGGACGTCATGATGGACAATCAGCCGCCCCTCACATCACCGGGTAAGAGGAGACTTTATTGTAAAGGAGAGAGCAGTACGGAGGATCCACCTAGATCCCCCATCATCTGATAAACACATAGAAACAATGGATTCAGTCAGTGTGTGTGTTTCCTACAGATGGATCCAGTCATGGGAACCCACCAGAGAGATGTCCCCGTCCTCTGTATTCCCGGGATTCCACACAGGAAGGTCACACCATCCCTCACCATCATCAGGTAGATGGATCCAGTAATGGGAAACCCACCAGAGAGATGTCCATATCCTCTGTATTCCTGGGATTCCACACAGGAAGGTCACACCATCCCTCACCATCATCAGGTAGATGGATCCAGTAATGGGAACCCACCAGAGAGATGTCCCCATCCTCTGTATTCCTGGGATTTCACACAGGAAGGTCACACCACCCCTCACCATCATCAGGTCGGTGGAGTTGAGGGTCTGGAACATAAAGTGATGGAACACTCTGACATGTGGAGACGATGTGTGGACTCTACAAGATGATATTTTCTATGTGATCTCACATCATAAATCCTTCTATATTACAGATGTTATTTCTGCCATTCTGTTGGTTTAGGGTGAAGATCTGATGAAGATGAAAGTTGAGGGTGAAGTAGAAGAGACGTATGTGAGGGATGATCAGCAATATACGGAGGAGGCTGGAATGATGAGGACATTCAAAAGAGGAGGACACTCCTACAGAGATCAGCACAGGTGAGCCACAATATATTCTTCTGTTATATCTCTGCTCTGTTACTGCTCACTGATTGGTCCAGAGTAGGGCGGGAGATGAGTGATGTCAGCCTATTATAGGCTGAAAATATTCAATGATACTCATTCTGAAGTTTTCCCAATGTTTTAAAATGTTAAGACATTGACTTTCCTAAGCCCTGTCTGGGCAAAGTACTAACACTGAGGGAACATGGAAGGCCTGAGGGAACATGGAAGGCCTGAGGGAACATGGAAGGCCTGAGGGAACATGGAAGGCCTGAGGGAACATGGAAGGCATTGGAAGGGTCTAGCTCTAAACAGGAGGTGAGGATAGAGAAAGAAACCAAAATTATACTGTATAGTATGCAAATTGCAATGGGCCAAAACTAGCAATAGTTGTCAGCATGCTACAAAATAATAATCATTATATGCAGTTCATTAAAACTCCGAAAATTACATAAAAGTGAACTGTTCTTATCACCAGAAGCCTAGACCTATGGTCACTTTTTTTCTATGCTAAAGGTTCTACAAAGGCTGAACTTTGAACCTCTTCATTATCAGAGATCACATGACCCAGTGCTAGGTTCGTGGTTGTGTAAAGAGCATCCCCCTCCCAGTCCCCACTGGTTCCTTTTCTTCTGACAAGGCTGAAATGTAGAAGTGATCTGGTGGGAGGACCAAAGGTCCTTTTGACTGAAAAGGGGAAGTCACAGCTGGCTGGGACATCCATTGATAGCTCATTTAAATCTACCTGATCCAGATGGAATGTTAATTTAACTGAGCTAACTCTCTTGTATATATTTTTCCAGGAAATGCCATTAAGAAACCCTCAAAGGATCATCTCATCTCAAGAGATTGTGGAGGAGAAAAGACATTGATCTCAGCTATGGATGGTGGACTTCACAATGTGGATGGACCATCAAATTCCTCTGACTCTGAGCAACCTCGTACTGTGGGGAATGGTGCCGGAATTCAGGGGGAGGAGAAACTTTTCTGTCCTGAATGCGGGGAACGTTTTAGCTCTGAATTAAGTCTTACTGTACATCAGAGATCTCACACGGGTGAGAAGCTTCATTCCTGTTCTGAGTGCGGGAAATGTTTCCTTCATAAATCAGAACTTCTCATACATTGCATATCTCACGGAGGCAAGAAACAAAATTCCTGTCCTGAATGTGAGAAATGTTTTACACGGAAATCACATCTTGTTAGACATCTGAGATCTCACACAGGGGAGAGGCCGTATTCGTGCCCTGAATGTGGGAAATGTTTTTTACACAAATCCGTCCTTGTTGTACATCAGAGGATTCACACGGGGGAGAAGCCGTATTCCTGCCTTGAGTGTGGGAAATGTTTTGCACAGAAGTCAGACCTTGTTAGTCATCAGAGATTGCACACGGGGGAGAAGCCGTATTCCTGCGCGGAATGTGGGAAATGTTTTCCATGGAAAAAACATCTTGATAGACATCAGATATCTCACACAGGGGAAAAGCCACATTCCTGCCCTGAGTGCGGGAAATGTTTTTCATTGAAGTCTGCTGTTGTTAGACATCAGAGATCTCACACAGGAGAGAAGCCGTATTCCTGCCCTGAGTGCAGAAAATGTTTTTCACTGAAGTCAATTCTTGTTAGACATCAGAAATTGCACACAGGAGAAAAGCCATATTTCTGCCCTGAGTGCAGTAAATGTTTTCCACATAAATCAGACTTTGCTATACATCTGAGATCTCACACAGCGGAGAAGCCATTTTCCTGCTGTGAGTGTGGAAAGTGTTTTCCACAGAAATCAAAACTTGTTTTACATCAGAGATCTCACACTGGGGAGAAGCCGTATCCTTGCCCCAAGTGTGGAAAATGCTTTACACAGAAATCAGACCTTGTTAAACATCAGAGATCTCACAGAGGGATGTAGGGATGAGTTAAAAATTTGTGGGTTCAGTTCCCAGGGGGGGAGGTTCACTGAATTGCTTCTAAGTTTTGAATGCTAATCTGAACCCCATTGAAGTCAATGAGAGCAGCATTTTTAAAATCCATTTTGAAGACCAAGAGGCAAGACATTGTCAATGGACATGGGGAGCTGGGCACTGCCCTGGGGGGTAATTGAGTTGTATACCAGGAAACTATGGACCAGTCAGCCTAACATTAATAGTATGTAAGATATTTGAGTAAGGGATTCTATACAGGAATTTGTCTGTGAGAAAGGTACCTTAAGTCACAACCAGCATGGATGTATGAAAGACCATTCTTGTCAGACCAACCTATCATCCAGTGAGGAAGGACGTGAGAAATTGGATGGTGGAAGTCCAGATCTAGATTTTGTACCTCATAAATGTTTCTTCCATAAAATCAAGTCTGTTGGAGTTGATGAAATTGTATGTACATGGATAGGAAACTGGTTACATGAACGGGCCCAGAGAGTAGTGATACATTACTCATTCTCTGAAAAATGGGCCCCAGCTTTCTGTCTTGGGGCCAATGCTGCTTAATTTTTTTATTTTTTTTAACCACTTCAGGTCCGCACACTTTTACCCCCTTCCTGTCCAGGCCAATTTTCAACTTTCAGTGCTATTACACTCTGAATGACAATTGCACGGTCATGCAACACTGTACCCATATGAATATTTTAGCCTTTTTTTTTGAGACAGAAAACTTTTTGGTAGTATTTATTCACCACTGGGGGTTTTTATTTTTTTTTTTTTTGCTATATAAGTGAAAAAGTCCAAAAAAATTTTTAAAGTGTTTTTCTTATAACATTTTGCAAATAAATAATCTTTCTTTATAAATCTTGGCCAAAATGTATTTGGTTATCTTTTTAGTAAAAAAATAACCAAAATTATAATTTAAAAATTTAAATTTTTTTTACCTTTTTTTTAATTTTTGTTTTTTTATATTTATGCTTTTTTTTGCAATACGAAAAGTCCCGCAGAATGAATTAAATTTGTAAACCGAGGTACGCCTGTACATTGCATCAAAGGTGACTCCAGTAGCTGTAATAAACTGTTTATTCTAAGGTCTCTGAGACATGCAGCCATGATTTAGGGTTAGAAGAAAGGAGGTTAAAGCTTAGATTGAGGAAAGGGTTTTTTACTGTTAGAGCAGTTGTGGAATTGCCTTCCCCCAGAAGGTGGTAGTAGCTGAGAGTGTCGATTTAACTTCAGACAACTTTAGATGACTTCCTCAGCAAGCAGAATATAGAAGGCTATGAGAATTGTTAGAGTATAAAAATCACTCACACATAGGTGGAACTTGATGGGCCCAGCTTCTTTTTTTTTTTTTTTTTTTTTGCCTTGCAAACTATTTAACTACTTCCAGTCCGGACACTTTCACCCCCTTCCTGACCAGGGCAATTTTCAGCTTTCAGCGCTATCACACTTTGAATGACAATTGCGCGGTCAGGCAACACTGTACCCAAATGAATTTTTTACTATTTTTTTTGAGACAGATAAAGCTTTATTTTGGTGGTATTTATTCACCGCTGGGATTTTTATTTTTTTTTTTAAAAAGTCCAAAATTTTTTTAAAAAAGTGTTTTTTTTATAAAATTTTGTAAATAAATAATATTTCATCATAAATCTTTGCCAAAATTTATTCCGTTATCTTTTTAGTAAAAAAAAAATCCAAATTAGTTTATAACCAAAAATTATAATTTTTAAACATTTTTTTTTACATTTTTATTATTTTTTTATATATATTATTATTATTATTATTTTTTTTTTTTTTTACATACTGTCACCCTAGCAGTACAGTGTCACCATGGTGACACTGTACTACTTGTGGGGGGTGATGAAGATTTTTTTTTTTTTTACACATTGCTTTTACACCCATATAGGATGTAAAAGCCATCATTTCTCTTTCTCTCTGTCTGCATTCTTGCACTCATTGAGAAGTACTGTGTGAGCTGTGATTGGTCACAGCTTGTCACATGGTACAAGCCTGTTGTGAATAGCCTTGTACCATGTGACCTCTGTGATCATTCACAGATTTCACACGTAGTAAGCAATGATGTCAGAAGTGACATCTTGCTTACTACTTTGCATGTGATCACTGATTGGCCAATCAGTGATCACATGATCGGGACCTCGTACAGAGGTCCTGTCCGACGATCGGTGTTTCACTGTGTCCAGAGGACACAGCGGGCACCGGATCGCAGTGCTGGGAGCACGCACAAGCAGGGTGCGGGGAGGCCATTTATAAACGACCACCCGACCCTGCACTGCCCACCGACCGGCCGTTTATATGCAACGGCCGGTCGGGAAGTGGTTAAGTAATGCTTAAAGTGAAATATTAAAAATGTGCAGCTTCAATGTGTTTATTACAATTGAAAAATCCAAATGATAACTCACGGAATTCTGAAATCAATGAGTTTTTCTGCAGCGATGCCACACTGGATGGAAGCCGTCCACCGGAAGAGCCGCTTGTGACAGCAAACAGCATGTTGTCAGTGAGGAAACCAAGTCCAATGTTCCAGGAAGTGAGAGCCACTGTGGAACCCAGAGCAGAATGTGACGTCACAGCAGGGGCGGGCTGGTTGCTATGTTAACATTTTCCAGCGCTCCTATTGGCTCCTTTCTCAAACCAAATTTCGCCTCTTCCGGTGGATGGCTTCCATCTAGTGTGACATGGCTGCAGATAAGCTCTTTGATTTTATATTTCTGTGAGTTTGCATTTGGCTTTTTTGATTGTAATAAACCCCTTGATGCTGCACTTAGCTGGTGACCTCATCGTGTTCCTCTTTGTTATTTCAGAGATTCGTTCCTGTCTTAGGTGGAGCTGCCTACTGAAGTGCAACACCCATCCTATGGGATTTTTATGCACTTTTTTTGAACATTGTATGAACTATCTATACTACACAAGTGCATCTTCACATTTAAAAAAAATGTAATCTTTAAACATGGAAAGGTTTCTTCACAGTCAGAGCTGTGAAGATGTGGAATAGTCTCCCTCAAGAGTTGGTTCTGGCCAGCTCAGTGGACGGTCCTGAGGAAGCCAAATGTACAGGTGAAACGCGTTGACCGTTCTCTGACCTTTCACTAATGTTCTAGGTCAGTGGTTCTTAACCTTTTTGGAGGTACTGAACCCCACCAGTTTCATATGCGCATTCACCGAACCCTTCTTAATTGGAAAAATAAAATATGATTTTTAAAATTCAAAACATAGGTATATATTTATACATAGGTGCACAAAATGAACAAAACCATTAAGAACAAAGAACAAAACCATTAAAACATGATTTTCACACAAAAACAAAATAATGAATATTTACCGCAAATCAGTGTGACTTCTGCTGTTGTCTTTCAGAGGCCAGTTCAGAAATGCGCGGCATTACCTTGGCAAGTGCCACTCTCATGTCATTTTCGCAACAAAGTCTGTTCCTTTTCTTCGTCTTTATGTCCAGCATCCTCGAAAAGGATTGCTCGCAAAGATATGTTGTAGCAAACGGTATGAAAATTCATCCCCCATAGTAATTCATCCCCCCCATATAGTAATTCATCCCCCATAGTAATTCATCCCCCCATAGTAATTTCCCCCATCCCCCATATAGTAATTCATCCCCCATAGTAATTCATCCCCCATAGTAATTCATCCCCCATATAGTAATTCATCCCCCATATAGTAATTCATCCCCCATATAGTAATTCATCCCCCATAGTAATTCATCCCCCCATAGTAATTCATCATAGTAATTCATCCCCCATATAGTAATTCATCCCCCATAGTAATTCATCCCCCATATAGTAATTCATCCCCCATAGTAATTCATCCCCCATATAGTAATTCATCCCCCATATAGTAATTCATCCCCCATATAGTAATTCATCCCCCATATAGTAATTCATCCCCCATATAGTAATTCATCCCCCATATAGTAATTCATCCCCCATAGTAATTCATCCCCCATAGTAATTCATCCCCCATATAGTAATTCATCCCCCATATAGTAATTCATCCTTCCCCATATAGTAATTCATCCCCCCTATAGTAATTTCTTCCCCATATAGTAATTCATCCCCCATAGTAATACATCCCCCATAGTAATTCATCCCCCCTATAGTAATTCATCCCCCATATTAAGTCCCCAAGTCCCCTGTGTCAATTCACTTACCTTTGCTCCGCGCGTTCCTCTCGCTGTATTCCCGCGCCGTTCCGGTCTTCAGGGCGGACTGTGAGAGGAGCCTAGCTCCTCTCACGTTCGTCACGCTGCCCCGCCTACACACATCCTGACAGCCAATCACTGGCTATCAGGATGTGAGTGGCAGCGAGACTGGCCAATCATTGCATTTGAGTCCCTGCCGCCCGAGAGGAGGGAGGGGAGCGGGCGCCCGGCACACAAGAGCCGCGGCTTGCCGACCACTGGGCTAAGCGATGTTGCGTGACCACCTGCAGCCAATGATGGACAAGCGGGGCATGTCATCACAAATCATATGAGTCGGGTGTGGGTCACCTCCGCCGAACCCCCGAGACTGACTCACCGAACCCCTGGGGTTCGATCGAACCCAGGTTAAGAACCACTGTTCTAGGTGATATATGTCACATGGAAGGGATTCATGTACTTTTTTTTCATTCCCCCTCCAATTCAGACAGGGGGAAGATTCGG